TGTTATGAATTCTGACAATTTAAATAAAAATCTAGTAAATTGGCAACTGAAAGCTGAAAATGGGCTGTCAATAAGTGTTTCAGCAGGACAAGAACGCAAAACAAAATACCAAACCAAAACAAAAATGGTTCATTAGAAAAAATGAAACTATCTGACTTCCATGAACATTTGCATTTTAATCTGAATCCTATAGAAAATCTGTTTAGTGAATCTGGAGAGAAAAGAATATCTGAGAGATATTTCAGAGAAATCACAAAGGTCCCTTTGTGTCTGAACTAACCTCAAGAAATCAGGAGAATTGCGAGAAGATGATTGTGCAAAAATATAATTGTAAAGGTGTTAATAACTGTGACCACAATGATTTTGTTAAAAAAAAAAACAACATTATTTCTGAGCCTGAAAACCTTTTTATTTATAACAAAGGTTGAATTTGCCTGGAGTTTTAATGCTAGATTTTCCTATTAAATGTGGATGGCACAGAACATGTAGGTATATTTACCTGGCAGGTGACATTAAGATGGCTAATGCTTGCATAAAATGTTGCACTCCAGAGTTCCCCGAAACTTGAATCTGGTGCAAATAAAAATAATTCATCAACACAATTTATGAAAACTCCGGTAGGTTAAAAACTGAAATGCGTGTTTTTGACTTACTTGAAGGAATGGAGCTGCCCACTTTCCCACTCCAGCAGGACAGCAGAGAAGATGACACAGCAGGTAAAGGTGCTCCCCCGACCCTCCAATACGAAGCAGGACAACAACCTGGCAGACAGGTGATCAGACATAACCATGAAATATATCAAAAACAAATTAATTCAGCTTGAGAAAGTGGTGCAAAAAATATGATTACCAGCCTTTCCAGCCACTGATGGATGTCTGTCTGGAACTGTGTGTCATCAAGGACTCTCCGGGTGAAGCTAAACAGGACACTGATGGCCTCTTTCAGAGGTTGGAGGGAGCAAGGCTGGGTTTGGCTTCCAGAGCATTCTAAAATAAAATAAAAATAGGAAAACTACTTTGTCTCCTGTTCACATTAGATGAAGTTATGTCTGGAACCATCATGTTGGAATAACTCTGAGGCGAGAAAGCTTTTAAAAGCCTCACCTTTTAGAAGGCGATACAAATAGGATTCAATCTGCAGGCGTGACAGCAGAGCAGTGTAGGCATGCAGCACCACCTTCTGGTGGAGGAGCTCACTGCAGGCCTCAAAGAGTAGCCGCAGCTCCACCAGAACAGCCTGACTAAACTCTGCCTGCTGGAAACGATGGTATCCACAAACCTTAGCCTGGTCTGCACACACACCCTGTAGGAATCGATGCATACAATACATTAAAACAAAGACACAATATTGGCTTCCTTCACTGGCCCAAAGGCCTAACACTAATGAAACACCTGAAGTGTGAGCTGTTCATCTTTGAAGCTCCAGAGACGATTCTGTGTGCTCTTGCAGTCAGATGACTGAGTGTGCAGCTGCGTGTGCGACTGGTTCAGCTGTCGGCGGCAGCGCCAGTAGTTCTGCAGCAGTTCTGTCAGTTCATGGTTCTCCTGATGGGCCAGAGCACAGAACTGGGCGGCACAGACCTCAACACCTTCCAGCCAAGTCCGCAGCCCTTCGCCTGGCTCCCACACGCTCAGCTGCTCCAGTGAAAAGGCCTGTCAAAAAAAATGACACAAGGTAGCGACATGGAAAAAAAATGTCAAAACATGAAAAAATAAGAGAAAGAAAAAGAAACTGGACTATAAGCTATTCCTCTGACTTAACATATTGTGACCATTTAGGTGATGAGCAATTTATTGTAGCCATTACCTCAGAAACCTGCCTCCCTTGAATGACACGTTCTCTCATCTTTCCCAGATTACATCTAAAAGAATTATGCCTCTGTGCCACATTGTAGAATAGCCATTAGCTAGAGGTGCTACTAATTATTTAATCAGTTTTGTTTAAAACATGCCAAAAGTGAATCAAATGAATTGCTTGTCACCAGGCATCTGCTAAGGCAGAGTTAGAGTTACAGGAGAGTATCTAACTTACAGCAGTTGGAAGTCTCTGATATAAATGCACTGATAAAGGTGCTTCTGGTTGGTACAAGGTAAAATTGACAAAAGCATTTAAATTAAAATTTTATATTATGACCAAATATAGGTTGTTAAGCTGGAAGAAGTATGAATATCACCATGTGGTCTGTGAAATTACCTGCATCTCTGGGGCTGTTTTGGGTAATTCTGGGTACAGTTTGCTCCTGGAAAGCTCAGCTACAGCCTTCAGAGGCTGCAAACTCAGGGGAGAGGATTCCTGATCCGGCAGTGCCAACACTGCAGGTTCCCTCGCACAGTTTTTCACAGCTTTCTCGTAGATCTGCATCACAGAATCCTCTTCCAGTGCTGGAAGAGACGGGTACAGAGCAGGAGCACTTGAGATGCCAAACTGAGTTGTCACAAAAGGTTGATTCCACAACTCCACGTCTTTTTCAGACTTCTTGGTTTGTGGTGTAGTTTTGAGCTCAGGAACCTGAGCTTCTGTCCCTTCATCTTCTCTTTCTTTTTTGTTTGACTCGTTCTGTTGCTCTGTCATTTGTGGAGTCTCTGCTGACAGATTCAGACCTGACAGTAGAGTCTCAGTCGACTCTGATGTATTTTGAGTCTGTTCTGAGGAAGGCTCTTGTTTCTCAGATGGCTCTGCTGCTGTGTTGGCGGTCTGGACAGGATCCTTCTGATCCTCTTTGGTCTCAGCTGGACAGGGAGGCAAACTGAGAGGGATCTCGGAGAAGCCATCGCAGACAGCGAATGGAGCTGGGCAGTTTTTGTCCTCATCTGCTTGCTTCTGCTTCTTGCCCAACTGAGAACATATATAAAAAAAGTTTTTCCTTGTTAAAAATTCTTCTTGTCCAATAGCAGTGTGCATATTTGTCACATAATGCAAACTACTACTAATTTGACAGACAAGTTCAAGCTTGATCACATTGTCAACTTTGCATCAAAAGTGTCATTATTTATCAAATCACACTTAATAACAGTCATAAACATTCAAGAAGACTCCTTCATCTTCATGACAGTGTCATGTCAGTCTTATGCACACCCTGTCAAATAAAGTGTTGCCGTGTAGTTTTATCTATTAAGCATATTATTATTTGCATTTAAATTAAATTAACTGAAAGAATCAAACACCACAGAGGTATAAGGTGGAAACACAGGCGTCACTGTCTGCAGTTAAGTCAGGTTAATATAATTATTGACTGTGAGGAAGCTGAACAAGATAAAACCTCTGTTCTAAAATCCATACATTTAAGCTGGATTTACATTTACTATATAGAAAGCGCAATGGTTTCCTGGAAATATTTATATGGTGAGAAATGATAAAGATTGAACTACTTGACATTAAATATGTTGGGAGGAGTCAACCTATTTAAACCTTTCCTTAAATTCTTTAAATTCACCTCAAATCAACAGGTAAATTTCTGAACGTGGACACATTTGCGTACCAACAAAACAATGATCTCAAATACACATCCAACTTGGTGTTGGAGTGGACAGACAGGCTTCCTTTATGTTTATGTAAAGCCCTGATCTCAGCTATACATGAGAATTGTAAAATGTGCTTAAAAGTCCAGCCACTTCAAATGGTTTCTAAAAAAAAGAAAAGAAAAGAAAAATAACAAAGAAGTTATTAATAGCTAGAAATATCTTGTGATCTGTGTTAAACTTACTGGGGAATATTTAACCAAAACATAAATGTGTATGTTCCCTTATAAATGAAACTTAAGTGTTTTCCAAAACTACTTCTATTGTTTTGCAAAAATAACCATTCTTTTCCTGGATGTGGATAAACAACAATACTTATCTAACAATGACAGCTTAATCTAAACTGTATGACTAATGATAATTGATTCAAATATGTTTGTGAAATGATCAAGGCTATTCATTCAGTTTATTCTCAGATTATAGTTTGGCTTTTAACTTGACAAAAAAAAATAGCATTTTGCTGTGTTCATCGGATGACGGATGCAAACACGTGTCATTCGTTGTTAGTTTAAGGAACTGGCCCTCTTATGATCACAGAAAAGGCTTCAGAGATGACAGTGCTGGCTTTGGGGTAATCACTTGAGATCTTCCGCTGGTTTTCGGCTTGCTCTTCTTTGGTCTCACAGCCTCCATTTTTAGCGGCCTGCTCCCATCAGCTCAAACCGCAGACACACGCAGTCCTCTGGTCAGCGTCCCGGTGGAGACAGCGATCACCAGAGAACAACAGGTCATCATCTGTTTTCAGAAAAACAGCAAGAAGCAGGAGGAACAGCGAGTCAAGTCCCGTCTGTGCTGCCAACACACAAACAGTCCTTTAAAAATACATATAAGAAAGTGACATATATTGTCCATGTTGGAAAGATTCTTCAGTCAGACACCCACCTGAATGCCTTATAGGACAAACATTGTATCCACACAGTAGTTAGGAAAGCGAAACCAGTGTTTGTTGATGAAACTCCTCTTAGCTAAGCTAGGCTAATCCCCATATCCTCGTTCGTAAAAAATGATTTCTCCTCATTTATGTTTCTGCCGCTCCACTATGTGTCATTCCGCTTGTTTTCCACATTATTAAAACGCCATTTGTGCTCGTCAAATAAAGAGTCATGCGACGGCAAGCCCAGTCTCCTGGTCAGCTGTCATTTGTTTTGTTTTGTCTCTTCCAGGAACTACAAGATGGCAATCTGCAAACACGTGACGACTCCACCTCTCTACGGGAACCGAGAGCAGCCTAAAGTCACCAAACGCAAATGTTGTCCAAGGTGTAAACTGTAGACATTATATACGTACGTATAATGTAATTACACGCATAATATCTGTGGGCTACCATGCCTCTCGTTCACTGACTGCTAAATATATGACTTATAAAGATCATCTGAGACAGCTTTTACTTTTTCTACATCTGCTGACAACCTCATCAGGTGATACCACTGAAATGTATGGTATGTAAAACATAACATAAAAAAATAAATAAAAAAAACAATGACATGTTAACAATTTATTTAAGTTTCAGGCAACATTTTGTGTTATAAAAGACACATAAAAACAGTAACAGCGGCAAAGCTAAACTAAAATGCAATATAGTCTTAGAGTAAAAGTGTGGCAATAGTCATGTGAACAATCTGCTTTATAGGGTTAAAGCTGCGCATGCTTTGAATTTAGGATTTTGCTTTTCAACAGTTACTTGTTTCAAAGTGCTAATGATTTGCATTTAAAATGTTGTGTTACTTTATTTCTGTTTAAATCTATAATGGAAAAACTCAGAAAACATCATGGCCATTGACATGTGTCATGATTTCTGATGCCTCTGACACTGCACCATTCACAAAGATGTCATGTACAATGCATATTATTTTATTTCCTATTCATTGTATTTAGGGTTATATAAAGGCACAAACATGCACTGTGAAAATAGTAAGGGGCTGTTAGCAGGTGTGTCTGTGGAAGTTTGCATGGGGTTATTAAACACTGTGTGCTGAAACATCTGGTCATCTGAATCCTGGCTGTATAACACCTGTAAAGACAGCTGTTCATGCTGGTCTGTGTGACTTGGAGTTGGGCTGAAAGCTCCTGGTGTGTGGTGAATATATGCTTGACTGAGGGCCAGGCCGAGGATCTCTGTTTTTTCTTTGTAGAAGCGCAGCTCTATGCCTCGACGTCGCGCCAACACCAACTCTCTCTGCGCCATTTGCAGCTGCGCTGCCAGAAGTCCAGGTGACTTCTGCTCCCGCCCAAGCCAATCCAGAGCCATGCTGCTCCGCATGCTCTCGTCCAGCCCTCGCTGGGAATAGTAGGTAATCACACTCTGGGACAAAAGAAAGAAAATATGCAGTTACGACCATGGATTAGCAGATAAAGCATCAAAACTCATAACAACATAACATTTGTTATGATTTGCATGAAACAATAATTTTATGATTTGCAGCGTGATAGGATTTTCACCTGTCGAGAGCACTGCTTTTCCCTCAGAGCCTTCAATGTCCCGTTCCAGTGCAACAACTGGAACACTGTCATCATCTCCTGAAAAAAGATGAGAAAGAGTGTGAGAAATCATTTTTAACAAAGTAAACTTCCAAATCAATGCTTTTAAAGCTCTATTGTAAAAATAATAAACGTTTTTTACATTTTGGAAGTTTAAAATCACAGACTTAAAGGCAATTCATTTGGATTTGAAGTGATAAACCAGATAAACATACGGTGTAGCAGAAGGAAAATGGAACATGGTTTTAAACAGTTTTTACACACAAAAAAATCTAAAAAGATCATTTCAAATCAGCAGTATAGTGATACTTCTAGATAAAATCCAGTGTAACCAATTACCTCCAGAAGCCATTTGATCACTGATTAGAGTCACAGTATAAAAGCAACAGTTTTGTTTTTTTTATTATTATTTTTAGAGAACACTCATGAACTAACAGCATCATGAAGAACAAGGAACACAACAAACAGGTCAGGGAAAAAGTTGTGGAGAAGTTTAAAGCAGGATTAGTTTATAAATCGTTATTCTCACAGAGTGAGGAAGGGCAGCAATCCAGAGCTCAGGAAATCTGGCCTTTATTAAACTTTGGCAAGAAGGAAGCCGTTTTCCAAGAAAAATATGTTTACCTTGTATCGTCACAAGACATGCAAGGGACAAAGCAAACATGTGGAAGAAAAACAAAATGTATCTCTCTGACCTCAGTGCAAAGTGTTATTTGTCGAGGGAGCGCCGCACATCATCCTGAAAACGTTACTTTGACAATGTTGATACAGCACCGGTTTGACCATGACATGTAAAACAGCACCTGGCCGAACAGCTGCCATACATTAGCAGCATTAACATTCATGTTAAACCTCGAGTCTGTACATTGACATACAGATTTAATGAGACACACATGGGAGACATTAGATGTAACTTGTATGATATTGAAGCCTGGTGTTTTTTTATGGCAGTACACGCAAATATGCGACTCATCTTGCACCAACCAGCTTCTACTTGACATTGTCAGCCCGACTGCATGTCAGCGTGCAATCATGTGGATGCAATGATGACAATAATGAACCCATTTCCTTTGCCTATTATCCCCCTTGTCTGCAGATGTGATATTTACTCAGAGGTAGAAATATGAGGTGTTTAATGCCTCAGTTCAGCTGCCAGGGTCAATGAGGGCAGACTAATATTCCTACTAAAAACAAACTGGTTGTAATGATGAAGCTAGAAGGTGAAAATAACACCACGAGTTGAGCTACAAGGTTAAAATTAGGCCCAAAATATAACATTAAATAGTTACAATGTCTTTGGAAAGTTTTCAGAATTGATAAAACAGTCACTGGTTGAGTCACTAGAGCACCGTTACAGCGACAAGGTGCAAATATGTTTTGTGCCATAGTTTTCTTATTTTCACATCAATCACCTGACACTTTATGATTTCGAAGCACAGATTAAAAAATATAATTTTTGCAGAATGGTTTGTCGTTGTACCTGGAACTCCAGCATGGTCCGTCCCATGTAGGACTGAAGCAGAAAACTGTAGGTTCCTATGCTGGTGCTTGAGTCACACGAATCCTCCACAGGAACCTTTGCTCAGAGACATCAGGGCAGGTCAATGTTTATCAGGTGAAGTTAAACCGAAGGGATCTGGAAGCAGCAAATACTCACAGCGCTTTCTGTGGCGGCTTGATTCAGACTGTGAGTGATGAACTCAGCGGTGATGCGTCGACACGGCAACTCGTTCACCAGCGAGTTCATTAGAGCCACACGAGCCGCGTCCCTGCGAGCCTCTGCTTGGGTGTCACACACCTGAGGAGGCAAGAAAAGGCCTGAGATGTTAAAAAAAAAAAAGGTGCAATTTATGATGTTAAGGAGAAAATAAAACAAGTCACTTCAAGGTGATGTTTGAAAGAGATCTTATCTTACACTTTGACATTGTGGGATCAGATCTTAAATCACTGTTAAGATTATTAGAATATTACAGGCACTCAAGCACAACCATTAAGAAGACCTCCCCTAAGGTGGAGGCTGCTGGCTGGATCACAATACGCCCACTGCAAAGCAGAGCGAGAGCTGATCAGCAAAACAATCCAGTAAAAGATTTAATTTCTCCTTGCTTTTCAGGGAACCACATTTTCTTGTTAAAAAAAAAAAGACAGTCGCTTAGAGGCCTGGTAATGGATTTTCAGTCTTTTTATTTATTTTTGTCTGCTTTTTCGCTCAATTTCTGCGTTTGCTTATGATGATAAGATTTTTGAGCAGCATGCTTGATGAAGTGGATTACAAAATAAAAGGTGCCAAGCTAAGGAAGCTGCCTATGGCAGATAAATCACATCTGAAAGTTACATCTTTCATAAATACAAAACAAATCCTGAAACAGGATTCATTATTCCTCAGTTGATTGCTCACCTTGTTGATGTTAAAATACTTTTTTCTGTACTGAACTGACTTGTTCATGGCTCTTTTGTTGGTCTATGGTTTAGTCAATAAAGCAACAAGAAGAGTCAATCAAATTTCTATTAAAAATATATAGCTAAAAAGGAATGATATAATAAAATAAGAACAAAAATTGATTGCAAAAATAGTTTTGAAATATCTTATGTAGGCTTTTGGGCAATTTGGTGTTATTCTCTGCACACTAATTTATTATATTTTAATCATTTTCAGTCTCTTTTTCATGAAATAGAAAAGGTCAGGATTGTCTCAATAGAATGTAAATAAAGTATTTTAAAACATGTGACAAATCTCATTGCTAACAGTTTTAACTTTGATAACCATTTCTATTACAATTCACACTTTTTCCAGTTTAAGCAAAATAATCAAAACATGAACATCCCTGAAAACGATAACTATTCAGATGTAGTATTTGGCCGATATGGGTCTTTTTGCAATTAAACTCTTTAAAAGTTAAGATATTTTTGCTTAAGAGAGCAGCAGGAATGACATCACCTTGTAGTTGCCAAAGCAGCTTCCTCCCGGCAGAGTGACGTAGCAGACGTAGGGGGGAGCAGGCGGAGGTGCTGACTCGTACAGCAGCAGACTGTCTGTGTGGCTGCCAGGCTTCCCACAAAACTTGTCCGACTCAGAGGAGTCGTTACACTGAGCTGTCTGCTTCTGCTCCCAAAAGCTATGCAGGATGCCCACCACATTAACTGCACACAGACGGGTGACAAAATGTTAAAACATTCATGAAGCAACTCAGTAAAATCTTGCATTAGTCTGGAGTATTGGATTTAGCGAAATTACATTTTTTAAAATCCTTTAACAATGCCCAGAACACTTAATCCAAATTTATAAAAGACTCTGTATATAATATGGCAGCATTCCTGAGTATGTTTATGTAAGCAGAAACCTACACTCTGACATTTCACCCAGATCAGCTTATTCTGACCCATTCAAAGGTTTTAGTTTTCCAGCATCCTTTCTTTTGTGACTATAGAACAATTTGCAACAGAAATTCAAAACCCAATGAGTCTGTTTCATCTAAAGTGAGATCAATTTTACACAAATAATCTGAAGTAGTAGCTGTAAAAACTAACTTTTCCCTTCGACTAAACGTTACTCACAGTCTTTGGGGCAGTCGTCAGTTTCACTCTGTGAGAGGTACGAGATGATGCTTTCCTCCAGTTGCATGTAGCTCATCTTCATCCGAAGTTTAGTTCTGCTGCTGCCTCAAGAACATTCAGTCATGTTTTAACTGGTCCATGAAAAGTGAAAACTAGCACTAGTCATTGACATCTCTGCGTCTAAGTGATAATACATGGAGAAGGTGGAATTTAAAAGGAGTTTTCACTTCTCAAACTTCATCCTCTTCTCCAGTGTGAACATCTCACCAGGATTCCTCTTTTTTGAAGCAGACCACCTTTTGTCACTCTCTGCACCAATTAGCTCAGAGGGCCCCTCAGCATATTGACCCAGAGGTTCAGGGCAGGAATGCCGAGCCCCTCCCCTCTGGGCTGTGCAGCTGGCTAATCCCTGAACAGAGCTGCAAGCTTTGCCAAGGAATCACTGAACTATTCTCAGAGAGGAAAAAAAAACATTACAGATTCAGTAGATTTACTTATTTTGGTCGAGGAACAAGCTGGCATCAAAGGGACAAATGTGCATTCATCAGTATCTAAGACGAGAGGGGGCTGGGACATTTTTGACTTCGCACTCAAATCTGAACCCGCTGAGTTGGGAGGCTGAGCTCCATTCATCCCCTTCAATATGAATGGCTTTTGTTCAACTGTGAATTCACCCCCTTTATAAGAGCTGCTTACACATAAATTAGCCAAATTCTGACAAAAAGCAGTTTCTTAGCTACCAAGTCTTACTTCTTCCATCAGAGTAACTCAACAGGTTTCATGTATAGCAGGTGTAGTAACTGCATCTTGTTTCTATTGAAGGATCCGTTTGAAATTGAAATGCCCTTTTTTGAAACTACAATCAGCTATTTTATCAATAAATCACTTCACAACCATTCAGTCTGTTGCAGCCATTTTGAAGACCTACTTAGGGATGTAGATAAACTGTTTGAAAGTTTCAATTTTATAAAACTAACAATATGTTGACATCACTCCATAATTTAGTTACATTAGATCTGTTAAAAAAAAAAGATATTTACAATTGAATGAACTTAAAGTAAAAATTAGCTTAAGAAGAAAAAGGATCTGTTTTGAGATATATTTTTATTATGTAATTACTCTTTGAACAGTATTCATTGTATGAAACAATTTTAAATCACTGTGCAGAGACTCTTCTGGTGTCCTTGTTTTCATCATTGATGATAAATGTTCAGTTCTTCAGCTGAAGGAGCGGAAGATCCGAAAATATATATACATACATGTAGACATAAATTACATTTGCTGGTTAATCCAGGCCTGCAATTGCATGCTATCCCCAGAAGGAGGCACTCTCCATGCTGGACTTGATGTTATTTTGGTTATCCCTTCTAGATTTGGTGACCAGGTTAGCCTCGCCTTTCTGCAGACGTCTCCTCTGTGCTGCCTTCTGCTGCTTGGTGAGTTGCCGCCTCACTTTCTGACGCACAACCTCCTGCAGTACAAACAACATCAGCAGGTTATTGTCTTAAGGGAGTCACAATGTGTATCAACAAGCAATGTTATTTTAAAAAATGAAAAATGATGTGGAGACTCTGAAGCAAAGCTGGCAAGACACAACAAAATTTCCCCAAAACTGATGTTACAATTAATCAGGCAACAAAGTTTCTTGTGCTACTAGCAGAAAGAGTTTTTGTATCTATATTGATATGAAACCTGCAGGGTCTTTACTTACTGGAGGAATAGTAGAGCAGCTCCCTATGCTTCCCATAGTGGCTTCACTGTCGGTTCTCCTTCTTCTGTGTTCTGCAATTTGTTGAAGACTGTCCGAGTCTCTGAAAACAAACAAACAAAAAAAGGTTTACAGGGAATGCATGGACTGCGTGCAATTCCAATTGTTTTCTTTAAACTCAGGATTTCCTCAAGTGGTTCTTACCAGATTAGGGCCTTAACGAAGGCTTTTTAAATGATCAGTCAGTATTGGAGACCCTGACGCTGCTGATTTGGTCAGCATGTGCCTGAGCTTACCTGAACGGTTTGAACTCTTTGTTGGAGGCAGACAGTTCAGCCAGCTCTGGACATTCATCTTCAGCTTCCTTCAGCTCTTCCTCAAACTCTCCTCCTCTTTCCTCGTGGCCTCCAGGTGTGGGCATCACCTCTGGAACATCTTCTGATTCATCACTGCTTTCCTCTTTCTGATCTTGTGTCACTGCAGGCGTTTCGCTGACTTTCAATCCCTCCAGTTCCAGCATTGCATGTTTATATTCATCGACGTCAAAGCCCTCTTCCACCTTTTCCGCCTCCTCATCTGATGCCTCTTCTTCATCATCCTCCACCTCGTCATCTTCGGGTCCAGCAGGATGTAGTAATTCAGCATTAGTTTCCAAATCTTTGGTAAAGCCGCTGGCTGACACTTCAATATCCAGAGAACAGGACCGCCTTAGGGAACAAGCAAAGTTCTGATAAGAACAACTTTCTACCCATGACTCAGCGCAGAAAACTCACATGAACTCATGTTAGCAAGGCCAATTTAGTTTTAGCTTATTTTTGGTGTGTAAATCATTATAAAACATACAACTGCAATACATTTTTAAGAGAATTGGATGCGATGTTTATGTTTATTGAGGATTTTTTTCTAATGAACACAGATTAAATCAAATTCATATAAAAACTCAAACTAACATTAAGTTTTAAAAATGATTTTCAGGTATTTGAGGTGTGTAATGTTAGTTTGTGTTATGCATCTCAAACCAGCTTTTATATGTGTTTAGAATCATTGTCCTATTTGAAAAAATAGCGCCTGAATTAAATCACCTGACCCAAACTGTCTCCCTCAGTTGAAAGGAAACTGGTTAAAATGTAAAAACAAAGAACTGAATACAGTTGGACAGATACATTGGAAAATATACTGTGGAGCTCTTCTTATTTTGACACAAAGTGTACATGTTCTGTGAATCCTTCATATAAAGAATGTTAAACATTTTAGCTCATGAAATATCAAAAGGTACCTGATATCTTTGAAAGTTGGAAAGAGCTCGCTTTCGTAGTTATATCGCTTTGCAAAGAAATCTTTGATGCATTTAACGTCACGGTCGAAGTACCTGTAAAACAAAGTTGGAGATGTGAGCAAAGTCTTTTCTTATGATTTTTTTTGTTTTTTTTGTAAGTCTTCAGGAACAGATATGCACCATTCAGCATTAGGATGAGACGTAGACACCATCTGTGGGAAGTCAATCATTGTTATGTGGTCCTGGTTGTCCAGCATGAGGTTGAACTCATTGAAGTCTCCGTGAATCAGGCCGTGATTGGCCAGCTTCACAATAAGCTCCATGAACTCGCTGTACAGCGCTGACGGGTCCTGCAGCTCATGCACCTGACACCTGCAAAAGTGGGAAATACACTCAAATTATGAGAGGAGAAGACATTCGAAGCGTATCACTATTACTGCAGTATGCAGACAAATATGGAGGCTGGCCAGCTTACGCACAGAGGATATCCATTAATGAGTTCCATCACTACGGCATGTCTATTGTAATCCACAGGTTTGGGAACAGGAAAGCCTCTGTCATACAGAGCCTGGAAATGCAGGGAGTAATAATTTAAACTACAACTTTATTACATTTTCATTTTGTCAGCTCCATCTGACCTAAATGCACTGATTCAGTTCATTACCTTCATGTAGGCGAACTCCTTCATGGCAGAGAGGCGCGAGAGGTAAAGCCAGGACATATTCCTCCTGTGTTTGTGGTAATCCCTTTTGTTTTTTAGGTTTCTGAAGGAGGTGCGACCCAGCCTGTGCAGTTTCAGAGCGTACTGCTCCCCATTTGGACTCGCTACAATGTAAATATCTACACAGAGTAAAAATTAACAAGAGAAAAGAAGATTCTCAATTATTTGGAACAAAAGTTAAGTTTTTTTTGTCTTTTTTTTACATTATTTTGAATTTGTAGACAATGCATTACAAAACACTTCTCACAAAAACACAGATTCTGTTAGATTTTTATTTCCAGCATAAGTTTTGAGATTTCAAACATAGTAATAGTTTAAACAGTACTACAAAAAAAAAGCATAAGTTGTGTAACTGAATTCCACAAAACCACTTCAGCTAAACCTAATTTATGGCAAAAGGCAATTTTCTCTCACCTGACTCTTTGCCCACACCCATCTGGTTACCAACCGACAGAATCACTTCTCTGGCGCACAATGTTTTTAAAGCCAAGTAGTCGTATCCTCCATAGTTCAACCTGTAGCCCTGCACAGCTACAACCGATGCAGAATGGAGATCAGAATAAATGACTCAGAAGTAAACATTAGCACCACTATAAGTGAGACAGAAACCCAAGCTCTTACTTTTGGAGTGTTCATACACCACAAGTTTGTGCTTTACGAGTTCTCTGAGGATCTTGTTGCAGCCGCCATGTTTAAGGCTGGCAATAGATGACAGAAGACTCACTGGAACAATTTCATGGTTCTTCATCCCCATCTCAACCTGTGAAGGAAACACAAGGTTACACTTTGAGTGGGCAAGCATGATGGCTGCAAAGAACCGACTACTATTTAGGGAACATTCTCCTTCTACCAGGCTACATATGCCAATTTAATTCTCACCATTACTTATTCTTTAGCTGAATAAGATGTTTACAGCAGTTATAAAGTCTTGATTATTTTTAGAATTGTGAAAACAATATGTATTATACAGATTATTTGTGTAGTTTATGTTCACAATATTTAATTTTGAGCAATAACTTATTGAAAAAACAGAAGACTGCACAAATTCAAGGATTTTTCAAAGCAAATAATTGAATTGAAGCTAAAATGTACTTTTTGTCGATGTGACACATAACGTTATTGTCTTTAACAATTTGAGATTCTGGAGGCTGATCAGTCTATCAATCTATTTCCCTCTTTGTTTCAAAGTGCAATACTTTGAAATGGGGTACTTTCAGGGAGGAGAAACTTCAGAGGTTATTGTCGTCTCTAAAGATAATCTCTCCTCTTAATCTTGTTTCCTAAGCGCGTAAAATTAGAAAATAAATCAGTTCGACTTTAACCGAGTCATTTGCCGTGGCGACATTTGTAACAGTGTCGTTAATGTAACATTAACTTACCATACGACAGATATCCTAACAAACGAAGCTAAGCTAACTCATGCTAACTCTTTTAAAACCAAGCGCTAATATTGTTACTTACCGCGGTGAGGACTCTGAAGTCATCTCGAGATAAATACCTCAGTATTATAACATTGAGCTTCCCCATATTACAGTTAGTGAG